CCTGCCTCAGCCTCTTGAGTATCTGGGATTACAGGCACCTACCACCATGTTCAGCTAATTTTTGTATTTTTAGTAGAGACAGTTTGACCATTTTGGCCAGGCTGGGCTCAAACTCCTGACCTTGTTATCTGCACACCTCGGCATGAGGCAGTGCGGTGGCTCATGCCTGCTTCTTCATACCCAGTAGACCTTCCCATATTATTACAATTGCAGCAAAATATCACAAGGAGGGGAAAATTCTGCTGCTTTCCGCCCCATGCCAAGCTGTTTTCCTGAGTCACTGCTCTGCCCTCTCCACAAGGCTGCACTCCTCCCTCACCCACGTTAACTCGTTCAGAACCACTTATTTCTGGGGCGTGGGTGGGAGGCAGAGGGTTGTAAGTGAGCCAGCCCATTGGGGTCACAGGTCCTACTCCCTCAGAGAAGGCCAAAGAAAAGTCTTTCAGATCCAGGGTGAATCATTTCCCAATGATTCAGTCGACAGTGGCTGTTTGTCATTGTTCCAAGTTTATAGATGAAATGCTCTAAGCAATGTATCCTTGTCAGAATTAAATCATTAAAGAAGAAAAAATTGACTCAGCTTTCTGGAAAAGGTCCTTATGGCAGCCTGGTTACCATGGCTACAGCCAGGTGTACACCCAACAGTCCATCATCACCAGAGGCCCAGCCCCCACTGGAGTGGGGGGCATTTATGTCATCATGCCACCCTGTTGTCTCATCCCTCCAAAGGATACTGAATCCAGCAGGCATTTCCCAATTTTTCTCCCTATGAGCCTTCATTGAAATCCCCTGCCATTGACTGATGGGTTTGTTGTTTGGAACCTATCAAAGTTTGACCCCTTTGATACAACCACTGAACTCTCATCAACTCCAGGGGGAATTGATGTGTTTGTAACAGCAAACAGAATTGGGGTTTTTATGTTTTGCTGAAACTAGAAGGTTCGGAATACTCTCAGATGCGGGCTTCCTTGGGCCAGGACCCAGCTCCCCACACCTCTTGCTGAGCAGAACCTTGGTGTCCCCCTTTGTTTCCTGGTAGGCTTGGGCTAAATTCCCTTGCCAACTATGCATACAATTGTATTAATCTCTAGTGATTTTTCCCCCCTTTTTCCCATTAAATTAGAGAATTTTAATGTTCAAGAGGGACTTTATCATTTTCTGGGGAACCTGAAGTTTTTAAGCATTGGAACTGAGGACACCTTTGCAAAGGGAAAGTAAGTTATGGCCCATGACCCAAGCAGCTGCCCTCCTGTATACAATGATGGCCTGTTGGAGGGTCCTTGGAGCACTGTCGTGGACTTTAAGCAAGATCTTCTAGTCTGCTCCCTTTCTCCCGTTCTCTTCCCATTTTGCAACCTCTGCCTCCTGGCTTCAAGCGATTCTCCCGCCTCAGCCTCCCTAGTAGTTGGGACTACAGGTGCGTACCACCATACCTGGCTAATTTTTGTATTTTTAGTAGAGACAGGGTTTCACCATCTTGGCCAGTCTGGTCTTGAATTCCTGACCTCAAGTGATCTGCTCTCCTCAGCCTCCCAAGGTGCTGGATTACAGGCGTGAGCCACCGCGCCCGGCCAATTTTCTCTATTTTCCTAGTGTCATCCAGGTACATGATAAATACAGTACACAAGGGTATAGAGTGGAAAATAATCGTTCCCTGGACTCCCTGCAGGAGCTTCTGCCAAGGCAACCAGTAGTCCAAGTTGAGCTCTGTTGTCCTTTTGTGTTCATCCAGGAATATTCCAGATTTATGCAAACATTGATGTGTATATTAATTCTTTTTGGCAAGGAATATGGGTCCATTAATGGTGCCGGAACCACTTAGTTAACTATTTATTATTTTTGAGATGGAGTCTTGCTCTGTTGCCCAGGCTTCAGTGCAGTGGTGCGATCTTGGCTCACTGCAACCTTTGCCTCCCGGGCTCAATCTATTCTCCTGCCTCCTGAGTAGCTGGGACTACAGTTGTGTGCCACCACACCCAGCTAATTTTTTGTATTTTTAGTAGAGATGGGGTTTCACCATGTTGGCCAGTCTGGTCTCGAATTCCTGACCTCAAATGATCCGCCTGCCTCCGCCTCCCAAAGTGCTGAGATTATAGGCGTGAGCCACCACTCACAGCCTAATTTTTGTATTTTTTGTAGAGACGGAGTTTCACCATGTTGCCAGGAGCTTTTTAACCTTTTAAAAGAACTTAAAAATTTTTTTAATTACAAAGCTTTTTTTCAGAGACAGGGTCTCGCTTTGTCACCCAGGCTGGAGTGCTCCTACGTGATCACAGTTCACAGTACACTCAAACTCCTGGGTTCAAGCAGTCTATCCCCCTTGGCCTCCCAAAGTGCTGGGATTACAGGTGTGAGCTGCCGTGTCTGGCCATGTGACTGTAATGTATTCTTAGACCAGTCCTCCGTCCGCGGACGCTTGTTTCGAGTATTTTAGGTATAGCACACAACGCTCAGTGCAGTCATGTTGCCTCTGCTCCTTTTCCACTGTATTTGTAGAATTTAAGAGGAGATTGTCGGGTCAAAGGCCAAGTGGAGAAAAAGTTTTCACGAACAATGGCGGTAGGACTTACCTGGGAGGGAGGGGAGGTTTCTGTGGAGGAATGTGTTCACCTTGGGCTGCACCCCTGCATCTCTTTTTTGTTTATTTGTTTGTTTTGAGATGAAGTCTTGCTCTGTCGCCTAGACTGGAGTGCAGTCGTGTGATCTCGTCTCACAGCAACCTTCTATCTCAGCTCACAGCAACCTCCTACTCCTGGGTTCAAGTGATTCTCCTGCCCCAGTCGCCCACGTAGCTGGGATTACAGGCATGCACTACCACGCCCAGCTAATTTTTGTATTTTTAGTAGAGACGGGGTTTTACCATGTTGGCTAGGCCAACCCCTGCATCTCTTTTGTAAGTTTTCCCACTAACTAGCTGCTGTGTACCTTTGGACCAGTGCCTTGGGCTCTCTGGGTCTCCCTTTTTTGATGTCTGTGGTTTGATCTCTGGACTCTAGGGTCTGTTCACCCTCAAGGTACCTGCTGTTAGCATTTAATTTCCACTCAGGACTGCGTCTCCATGTAGCACCCTGAATATTTGTTCAGGATTTTCCAGAAGCTTGCCTGGTGAGGCTGGAGAGTTCCATCCTGTAGACTGGATTTGGGGAAAGCGTTCATTGTCTTCCTTTGTGAATCTGCTGGAAGATGTTTTGCCTTTTCACCAATTCAACCGCTAGGAGGCCTTGCTTGGACCATGAGGGATGCTGTTAATCTACCCTTAGTGACTCTCCTGCAGACAAGGAGACAGATGCGCCATGCAGCCTGCATGCTGAATGGTAAAACTGGGGCAGGAGCATCTTTGGTAATTGACGTCTTTATGGATTTCACATCCCATCCTACCCTATTCCCCTGTGCTCTTGGCACAGTTTTCCCCTCTTGTGGTATTTATAGCTTTCTTAGGATGTCTGGTGCACCAGGCTGTGCCATTATATTGTTCCTAAGTTAGCAAGACCACCATCAGGTGTGGAGTGGATTCAAGTCCTTGCAGGTGAAAATTGGATGGATGGTGGCGGAAGTGTACATGTGTTTATTTATTTATTCATATATATTTTTTGAGATGGAGTCTCTTGTCACGCAGGCTGGAGTACAATGGTGCGATCTTGGCTCACTGCAACCTCTGTCGCCTGGGTTCAAGCGATTTTCCTGCCTCAGTCTCCCGAGTAGCTGGGATTACCGGCGTGTGTCACCACGCCCAGCTAATGTTTTTTTTGTATTTTTAGTAGAGATGGGGTTTTACCGTGTTGGCCAGGCTGGTCTTGATCTTGTGACTTCAGGTGATCTGCCCGCCTCAGCCTCCCAAGGTGCTGGGGATTACAGGTGTGAGGTACCGTGCCTGGTTGAACTGTATATGTGTTTAAATGAGATGAGGGGAGATGAAAACAAGGGATGCATGAATCAGAGTGGGGCTGGGATTTTCCAGATGAGAATCCACAAGGATGTAATTTGGAGGAGGGTCTCAAACATGAGCCCCAATGGGGGTGGGGCCACGGGAACTTCCTGATGGATGAGGTGTATTCTTTTCACAAAGATAAGTTCATAGCCTTTTAAACAGGAATAAAGGATGTTGTGTTCCACGAAGGAGAATGTGTGCCTCCATTTCCTTGACATATGTAGCCTATCTTCTTTGGTTTCCTGCTTTTGCAGTCAGGCATGGGCATGGAGAAGACATGGTTCTTTGGGGTAAGAATAATACTGGTGCCTGTGTGACGACTCTTGACAGCTTGGCCTCAGGACTCATCAGCAGGGACATAGTGGGGAAGAGCGGCGATTTCGGCAAGAGGGAGGGCATGTTTCCATCTAAAAGTGGGGTAGCTGTTGCTTGGCTCTGTCCGGTGCTATGGGGGCCTACAGATCCCAGTCTGTTGTTTTTATTTCCGAGATGGTGTCTTGCTTTCTTGCCCAGGCTGGAGTGCAATGGCATGATCTTGGCCCACTGCAACCTCCGCCTCCTGGGCTCAAGCAATTCTCCTGCCTCAGCCTCCCAAGTCGCTGGGATTACAGGCACACGCCACCATGCCTGCCTAATTTTTGTATTCTTAGTAGAGATGGCGTTTCACCATGTTGGCCAGGCTGGTCTTGAACTCTTGACCTTGTGATCTGCCCACCTCAGCCTTCCAGAGTGCTGGGATTACAGGTGTGAGCCACCATGCCCAGCCCTCCTAATCTGTTTGTTTAAGAAAAGTGAAAAATCTAGGTTATTATGTGAGGTTTCCTGATTTTTGTATCTTGGCAACAAAGTAAGATTGTACAAAAATTTAGGTCTTAGAAATACTTGTTAGACCGTTGAGGCAGACAGCGGAGAAGGGGGCCCTTATATTCTAGGAGGAGGAACACTGAAGTGTATTTGGGAGTTGGGGTACAGAATACACTCTGTTCCCACACTCTGTTCCTCCACACCTCCTCCCTGTGGGGCCCAGGCCTCCCTGACTGCTTTAAAACATGTGGTCCTGTATCTCTTTCAGATCCTGGCTCTGCAGAGAGAACAGCCCAGAAAAGAAAGTTCCCCAGCCCTCCACATTCTTCCAATGGCCATTCGCCGCAGGACACATCAACAAGCCCCATTAAAAAGAAAAAGAAACCTGGCTTACTGAACAGTAACAATAAGGAGCAGGTAAAGGAGCCGCTGGGAATGGTGTCCTCACTGGTGGGGCAGAGGCCAGCCAGCAGTGCTGAACCTCTCTGGGTCCTTGTAAGTGCCGGCTTTCTTGGCATTTAGCTAGCTGCCTTGTGCTGGCTGTCATTAGGCTTGGACAAAAAACGGTGGCTCAAAATGGGCCTGTGTAGATGTCCAGTGGATTTTGGGGACAGAGTAATGACCTAGATGAGATGAGGGTATATCATTCTTTAGCTTTTGGGGCGTTGCCTTGTATTGTTTCTTTTTTCATGCTTTTAGGACTGTCTTCCCCACGTGGCCTGTGCAGTTTATCCCTCCTGGGCCATGCCTATAGAACTAGTTCTCAGCTCTGTCTGGAAGCGGTTGCTTGACTGAGGCAAGCTCCCTTCCGGCCTCAGTTTTCTCATCTGTAAAATGAAGGGTTTACGTCCCTGGTAAGAGGCATTGCCAGGGGCAGACTTAGGTAACTGATCACAGTTCCTTTTCCTGGAGTACACAGGGATCTTGTCCAGAGCCTACCCTCCCTTGGCAGCTTGCACCAGAAAGGAAAAATCCATTCACCATTTGGGTCTTTTCTAAGGGACCTTCTAGCTTTAGAGTTCTCGGGGGCAGGCTAGGTACTCTTCCGATTAAAAAAAATGGAGAGGCATTTTAGTGGATTGAGAGGTGGATTGTATCTATCCCCTCTGGACCATGAGGTCAGATCTCATAGCACTGAAGAAAACAGTGTCCCTGTGGTTCTGATGCCACTTGTTCTTCAGCAGTGATTCCTAGGGATGCATTTATCCATTTTGTGCATTATTGCGAAGAGGAGTGGGCCCTAGGGATGGAAAGTTGAATTAAACAAGATTGTTGCCTTCGTGGAAGGAGACCTAGCAACGGTTAAATAGCCAGGCCTGTGAGAGGTGTGTGTTTCTGAGCATGAATCTGTTTTCACTCTCAAAATTACATGGTGAAATGCCAGCTCTGCTTTTGCCTTGTGGCTGTAGGCAAGTTAACCTCTTTTGTGCCCAGTTTTCTCATCTACTGAAATGGGGCTAATGATACTACTACCACAAATTTTGCAGAATTGTGAAGATTGAACTAAATGGCATAAATAGTAATGTTAAAGATGGGCCAGGCACGGTGGTTCACGCCTGTAATCCCAGCACTTTGGGAAGCTGAGGCGGGTGGATCACGAGGTTGAGAGATTGAGACCATTTTGGCCAACATGGGGAAACCCCGTCTCTACTAAAACGACAAAAATTAGCTGGGTGTGGTGGTACGTGCCTGGAATCCCAGCTACTTGGGAGGCCGAGACAGGAGAATCGCTTGAACCGAGGAGGCAGAGGTTGCAGTAAGCCGAGATCATGCCATTGCACTCCAGCCTGGTGACAGAGTGTGATTCCGTTTCCAAAAAAAGAGAAAAAGAAATTTGGAGGCACACTGGCATTCAGACCATGGCACTCAACAAAGTCTAGCAGCAGCTGTAGCCGAGTCAAGCCTGCTCCTTTAGACATAGCCCTGTGCTGACTCATCTGCCACACTCCCCACCCTTCCCTGTCATCCTGCGCTCAGTCTGCTCTGCTCATTTCATCCTTCTGTGAATTTCTTTTTATGTCCATGTTCTTCTGACTTTGGCATTTGTGAAGATTCTTCACCATCTTCCCCCCCCTTTTTTACTCTAGTTTCTCTTTTTTGTCCATTGTTCTAGAAAGGAAGCCATTAAATAGGCTGGGCTTCGTGGCTCAGGCCTGTAATTCCAGCTACCTGGAAGGAAGGCTGAGGCAGGAGAATCGCTTGAACCCAGGAAGCAGAGGTTGCAGTGAGGTAAGATCGTGTCACTGCACTCCAGCCTGGGCGACAGAGTGAGACTTTGTCTAAAAAAAAAAAAAAAAAAAAAAAAAGTATGATGTTCGTTGTAAAAATAAAACAACAGTAACAAAAAAGAAAAGCAAATAATTCATCTATTTCCATGTTTTATTACCGCTTGGAAATATTGGATGAGTTTGAAGTCTGGTCCCTGTTCTACCCATTTATCATGTATTTGGAATTCATTTTAGGGAAGTTGTTTTTTCATTTTTGTTTTTTGAGACAGGGTCTGACTGTGGTGCCAGGCTGGAGTGCAGTAGCGTGACTGCAGCCTTGTCCTCCCCGCCCCCACCCCAGCTCAAGCAATTCTCTTGCCTCAAGCCTCCTGAGTAGCGGGGATTATAGGTACACGCCAGCACGCCTGGCTAGCTTTTTGATTTTGTTACAGAGATGGGGTTTCACTTTCTTGCCTAGACTGGTCACAAACTTCTGGGCTGAAGTGATTCTCCTGCTTCAACCTCCCAAAGTGTTGGGATTATAGGCATGAACACCCCACCCAGCCGGAAGTGTAAAGAAGAGTTTTAAAACACGTTTTGTTTTCAGGGTCTCAGAGCATCCTAAGGTTTACCATGCACTTTCTAAAGACCTTGGTCCAGTGGTTTTACCCCTTAGGAAGGTTTGAGAATGCCTGGGAGGATGCTCCTGGCGTTTTGTGGAGGAGGGTCAGGTTGCTAAATGGATGTCCTGTAGTAGATGGGGCAAGAAATACCTTGCCCAAAATGACGTCAGGGTCTCTACAGATAAATACCACTCTACTGTTTAGTTCTGATACATTTGAGTTCAAACGTCCTTTTGGGAGGTGTTTTGTTTTTTTCTCCCAACAGTAAAGGATTAAAAAATAATGTGCCAGCAGATGTGTACAGAATGGACTTAGGTGGATCTTTGATCAAATATGGCAAAGAAATGATGGGGCTTCTCCTCACTTTCTCTGAGTACAGGGTATGTACATATCTGAATGAGTGGCTAGTACGTATTTTCTTGGGCCCATAAGTTGCCCTAAAAACTGGGACATTTCACAGAAGTCCTTCTTTTCTTTCTTTTTTTTTTTTGAGATGGGAGTTTCTTCAGGACAGGAAGGTTGAATGATTTAAAAAAAAAGAAAAAAAGAAAAAAAAAGAGAGATGGGAGTTTCACCCTTATTGCCCAGGCTGGAGCGCAGTGGCGTGATCTCAGCTCATTATAATTTCCACCTTTTGGGTTCAAGCGATTCTCCTGACTCAGCCTCCTGAAAAGCTGAGATTATAGGCATGCGCCACCACCCCTGGCTAATTTTGTATTTTTCGTAAACACAGGGTTTCTCCATTTTGGTCAGGTGAGTCTCTAAGTCCCAACCTCAGGTGATCCTCCTGCCGCAGCCCTTCCAAAGTGCTGGGATTGTAGGCGTGAGCCACCACGCCCAGCTTTTTTTTTTTTTAAGAGACCGGGCTTTGCAGAGCCAGGTGTGGTAGCTCACACTTTTAATCCCAGCACTTTGGGAGGCTGAGGCAGGTAGATCATCTGAGGCCAGTAGTCCAAGACCAGCCTGGACAACATGATAACATGGTGAAACCCCATCTCTACTAAAAATACCAAATTAGCTGGGTGTGGTGGCATGTACCTGTAATCTCAGCAACTTGGTAGGCTGAGGCAGGAGAATTGCTTGAACCCTGGAGGTTGTAGTGAACCGAGATTGCACCAGTGCACTCCAGCCTGGGTGAAAGAGCGAAACTCCATATCCAGAACAAACGGACAGACAAACAAATAAACAGGTAGAGCTTTGCCCAGGCTGGAGTGCACTGGTGTGATTGTGGCACACTATAACATTGGTCTCCTGGGCTCAAGTGATCCTCCCACCTCAGCCTCCCAAGTAGCCAGTACTACAGGTGTGCCCCATTATGCCTGGCTAATTTTTTTTTCTTCTAGAGATAGGGTCTTGTTTTGTTGCCCAGCCTAGTCCTGAACTTCTGGGCTCAAGTGATTGTCCCACCTCATTCTGCCAATTGGTGGGATTACAGGCGTGAGCCACTGCAGAGGCCCACAGCAGTCTTTTGTTGGGCTGAGACAGTGTATTAACAGTTGAGACAGTTCAGGGGAGTGTAGGGATTGCCAGTTTCTCCCCAAGGTCACGCGACACTAGGAGTGTGTGTCTGCCCAACTCCCTGGATTATTGGAGCTGAGTGGGGGCTGCCTCTGTAAGATGAGTCTGAGCTCTTCCTGACCCTGCTGTCTCCCCTACTTCGAGGTTGAATGCCAGTGCGTCCTCATACTCCAGAGCTAGGTGGTTTTTTCTTATGTACTTCTTAGTATTCATGCTTTTAACAAATGTAGGAGAAGGAGAGCTGAGTCTGTGGCTTTTTTTTTTTTGAGACGGAATCTCGCTCTGTTGCCCAGACTGGAGTGCAGTGGTGCGATCTTGGCTCATTGCAACCTCCACCTCTTGGGTTCAAGCGATTCTCCTGCCTCAGCCTTCCGAGTAAATGGAACTACAGGTGCATGCCACCATGCCTGGCTAATTTTTTGTATTTTTATTTTGAGTTGGAGTCTCACTCTGTCGCCAGGCTGGGGTGCAGTGGCGCATTGTCTTGGCTCCACCTCCTGGGTTCAAGCAATTCTCCTGCTTCAGCCTCCTGAGTTGCTGGGGCTACAGATGTGCACCACCATACTCAGCTAATTTTTGTATTTTTTAGTGTAGAGATGGAGTTTCACCATGTTAGCCAGGATGGTCTCCATCTCCTGACCTCATGATCCACCTGCCTAAGCCTCTCAAAGTGCTGGGATTACAGGCGTGAGCCACTGCGGCCTGAGGTTATCGCTTTTTTTCACTCCTGTATGGTTCCTGTGTGGCCTCTGTAGGAAGTGGAGTCTGTGGTCCTTGTCCTCCATGCATGGACGTTGTGTTCACACACAGCCAGAGCATCCATACTCTGGTTTATGTGGACCAGGTATCTGCAACTACAGCTTGTCAGCCAGATGTTGCCTGGAGCCTGTGTTTATAAAGTTTTATTGGCACACAGCTACAGTCATTCATTTATGTACTGTCTGTGCATGCTTTTGCACTACAGTGGCCAAACTGAGTATTTGCAATAGACACCTTAATGGCCAGAAAGCCTCAAGTATTTACTATCCTTATAGAAGCCTTTCTAGTTAAAAGTTCTCTGGCTCCTGGT